AAAAAAAAAAAAAAATCGGTATACAAAGGTGAAATTTCAGTTTCACCCGAAGAGTATACGGCTCATGCAAGTAGATTATTGGCCCCATACTTGAGCCAAAGACGCCCTAAATCCACCTCCCAATTTATCCCTGTAAACTAACACTCAAACAAGCCATTCTAGGTCGCCCAGAATTCATGTCTTCTTTCAACATTCATATTATAGGAAGCACCAAGGAATCTTTGGTAGTGACGCAGGGATGAACTCAAGATCTTAAACGTATTGCTTTCATAAAGCCTGTAGCTTACATGCATGCACCATAACACCAAGATTCTTGCCTAATCTACACGAAAATTTCTGTTGACCCAATAGTTCAGTTTTACCAAGTGCCTGTTATGCAACAAATCAGAATTAAATATTCAAACTAAATGATAACCATGTAGAAAACCATCCAAATTCCTTCAATGTACATGTATAAACTTTCTTTACCAGCTATGCAGTAAATAAAGTCAAAAGACAATAACAAATGACCCATGACATGTCCTAGAAAAGAAGACCAACCAGCATAATCTCATATGTGAAAAACTATTCTTTCCAAATTCCTAATGATGTTTTAAAGGTAATCAATGCTAGCATAAAATTCATCCTTCAGAAATAACCAAAAGCAGAGAACACTACGTCATACCTCCACCACCATTCATGGTCTTCAGCAGCAAGCTGGAAGTACGTCAAAGCAACAGTAATAAAGGCAGTAACAATCAAGAGGATGTGAAAACAATAAATAAGATGCTGTAGATAGTATAGATCCTGTGGCCCCAAACACTGGCAAATATGTAGTAAAGTTCAATATAAATGGCACTAAAAGGCAAGAATCCAGCCATTGCCATCTGAGGCAGAGTTCCACGGTACCAAGGTAGCTGTGGAATCTCTCTGGGATATTTTGTGGTGCGGCATGGAGCTTGAAACTCAGACTTGCTATTCTTTCCTGCTATCCCGCCCAAGACTAGCAAAGGAGATGTTACGAGAGCCCAAATAAGAAAGATGACAACAATTGTACCGAATGGCAGTGCTGCAGTGGCACTGTAAGAAATGGCAACAGTGTTAAGGAAGCAGAATGTAAGAAATAGCGGCCCGCAAAATAGACTTCCAGTCAACAATAAATTCCGAACCTGTGGAATGAAAAAGGGAGTGTAGATCAGCATCAATTTTACTTTACAACTGTACATTTAGTAATGTTCAGTTTTTCAATCTAATATTTTCCCCCAATACACACGTTTAAGCAACATTTACCAAGTAAAAATAAAATAAACAACCATTAAAAGAAAAATTTCTTCTATAAAAAATCTTTGAGTCCTATCACCTGAAGTTTAGTAAATAATAAGAATTTGAGGCCAGCCCTGAAACCTCCCAATCACTAATTGACATAAAATTAAAAGCTAAAGCACCTGCTCTCAGGATCTGCAAGGTTAATTTCACAAATTTTGTTCCGCCTGCTAGATTTATCTCTTTGAGGTGATGGCGGTGGAAGGGGCCAGTAGGGTGAGATAAGTAGAGTTTGGGGCAGCCAGTAGCTACAATAACAGTGTGCCAGAGGCAAAATGGTGAGGTTTTCTTTTCTTTTTATCCTTTTAAAAAACATTTGAATAACAAATAATGAAATGAGTTGGTGCGTAAATGTAGAATGAAATTCTTGTAATCTTTAATTTTATTGTATGCCATGGATAAATAAACCTGAGATAACACAATGTTGACAGATAAAACGTCCAAGAACAACCTTGAATGGCCAGTCGTAAGATTTTGTTATATTGTGTTAACCTGTCCACAAACCAAAAAAGGACTAACAACATTATCAGCTGTAATGCATTCCCATTAGATTCATATCCGTTTTGTCAAATAAGCTCCTCTATATTTCGATGGGAAGTTTTGAACATGCTCCTCCATGGTACCAAAACAAGTAAGAGAACAAGAACTAACAATTGTCTAAAAATAAGTATTCCAAAAGAGGAAAACTTCATAATCCGTTGAACAAATGTCAATGTAAGAAATATCACTGTTTATTCTATGGGAAAACTTTCAATCTGTAGGTGTCCTCATTCAAGTTCAACTAGGTAAGTTGCATTGATTCACAATACAATCCAATATTTTCATCAGTGGTCCACTATTTCAATTTGTCAAGTACAATACAATGTAGTTACAAATAACCTTCTTTTTCTGTGAAGACGAGAAGCAACATCACTTTCACCTTTTTCTTGGTGTTGGGATGGAAGATGGGGGGAACTTGGGTATAACTCGAAACTTGGTTATTGCATTTGGTCAATTATAAGAAGTTAAGAATATGCTAGAAGTAAAACATACCCAGTTTGTTCCTTCTAGTTGGCAATAGAAAGCGGATGCAGTAAAGCCAGCAATTCCAGATGTAAGTGCATAAATGACAACAAGTGCAGTGAATAGAGCTCCGTGGTTGTATGGATAAAATACACCAACCAGTGCAAGGATAAAAATAAATACCGTGCTGAGAAAAATATGCAGAAATTAGTAGATTTTCCAACGGTAAGTGATAAGTAACCTTCTGCAAACAACGCAGATTAAAGATGTACTTACAGAGTAAACAACTGGGTGCCAGAACCAAGGGCTGCAGCAAAAAAAGATTTGTACTTCGGGTACCTGAACACATCACCATGAATGTATTTCCAACCAGTTTCTTCTTGATCATCAGCTGTCTCCTCATCATGCGCATACCTTTTCACAAATAGGATTATAATCAATGCTAACACGAGAAAAAAATTATATTCAAATCGGGGTAAAGATAAATAAAAATGCACGTACTTGACAAAGTCATTCTTAAGGACTCGCATAAGAGCCAGTTAAGAGAAGAACTGTCACACAAGAGTTGATTATCGAGATCCAATGGATTTCCAAGTGATGCGGTAGTGAAGAAGACTGTGAATACTTCTCCATCCTCTCCTCAAAAGGTGTGTTTGTTTCCTTCCATTTCACAGAGTACATGAATTCTAAATCAACTTCCTTATCCTCAGTGAGGTCTACATGGGCATTAGGGTCAGTTCGTGCATTAATCTCAATCACACGATCCAAATTGTAAAAGATCTCAAAATGGAGATGTTTGAATAGATAATATTTATACTCATTGGGATCAGATTTTCCTTCCTTCTCAACTTTCCGTAAGAAACCCCAGATGGGCAAATCATCATAGTACATTTGTAAATAATAGTCTTTTATGATAGCTTTTCTGAATTGCACAACTTCTTTCTTGGATAATGTCTTCTTGCAAACAATTTGAGAGTCTTTATCTTGCAAAAAGTCAAGTTTATATGGGGCACTAACAAGGCGATCCCCATTCAACACTTCCCCAAGAGCTTCCTTCTTCTCTTTCATATGAGCTGCCAGAGAGATATCCCATCATAACAAGAACATGAGATATTATTTTTCAGTATGGGTATCTTTTTGAAATATACTGAAGCAATATGGCAAAAATTCAAACCTGGGGAACAGAAAGGAAGATCAAAGTAGCGATACGTTTCACTGGCACAAAAAACAAAAGCAAGCCATAGTTTGGTGGCATTAGTTCATCATAGTACATGTGTTTTCTGCTTCTATGTTATGTGATGGTGTTTCCATATTATGCCTAATCAGTCTCAATTTCTATCTCAAAGGGCACATGGATTCAAAAAAAAAACAAAAACAAAAATCATGGTATACTGAATGTTTTCAGTTTAACCCCATGTAGTGAATGGAAAATTTTCAAAACTCGTGTTCCTTTATGGCCTTCATGAAAAAGGTCATTTTTCGTCATAATGTGCATAGAGAGTTTACAAGAACTCCTAATCAAATATAATGAGCAGATGAACTCTGCAAACTTCAATGTGAACATCGTTAACAAAAATTTGTTCTCATAAAATAAAAAGCTTTGCTGCTTGTTTGAAGCAAAATTTTGGTTCTTGAGGAATGTTACTTGGAATCATGCATATGGATTCATATTTTTGCCACACACAAGGAGTCTGAACATCTTATGAACAAAATTATCACATCAAACCAATATTCTTGAAATCTGTACCATTCTCATTCCTAGCTTTAAAATCAGAATTTAATCATAATTCCAAACCATGATAATAGCACATTGATATGTTCGATTTCTGCTCATATAAGGCTAACACATGCCAATTCATGATAATAATCATATGTGAATTATGCCTCTTATGTATTTTTTGATTAAAATATACGTCATTCTACAATTTGTACAGAACTTATCAGAATTAAATATTCAAGTTATATACTGATACAAAAAGCAAAATAAAAATCACAATCAACTTCAAAGTTTAAGGGGTCATTGGGATTCACCAAAAAGTTATAACTGGTGGTGGTCACTGGTCAGTCAAAGGAAAAAGCTGAATGATTGAACATATTTATTCACCTTTTAATGTAATTCATATCCTTAATAATAATTCTTAAAATAAAAAAATCGATTACTTCAATTTGCGTGGTAACAAGTCCCAGAAGTATCATAGATGTACTGTGCATCCAATTCAGGCAACCCAAAAAAGAGTATTGAGGCTCTCCACCAAAGCATTTACAAGCAGTAATCAACTATAATTTCATTATTGTCAGAAATAAAGACAACCTAATGGCCCTTCCTCCTTCACACCCCAGTCATTCATGTTTTTATTCCAATTAACACCACAATTTGTATATCATACCTAAGAGAGGTGTATAGGATCTTATAATTTTTCATACTCATCATACACTATGAATTTGCCTTCACTGGAAAGTGCAGTTCACGTGGTCCATACAAGAAAACAAGCAACCATTTCCTAACAATTGATGGCAACTTTTTTCACTTTCTTAAGCCAAACAAGATCTCTCGAATTTTCCTTTAATCAATTGACCCTCAAAGTTAGAAACTCTTCATGATTCACGAATATTGATTCACTTGAATAATGTCCAGTATGAAAAAAAGGGATCTTCCTTTCACCCTCTGATTTTCAAAATGTGATGTAGCTTAAGTTCAGTATGATCTCAATTCTTGTGAAATTCCAGTGATAAAATATCTTCTTGTGTCCTATATTGATATCGATTACTATGAAAATAAGTTCATTGTGATCTCATTATTACTAAATTTCAAAGTAATACAAAACAATCAATCCAATTCATTGCAAAAACAACTCAATTCTCAACCAGATTCCACAATGCAAAACACGAGTATACACAGTACATCTTTGAATGCATGAAAATAACAGATCGTCGAGGAACAAAAATGATTACCTAGGATTGTGAAAAGTCCGACCTTATTTGCATAAAGCGGCACTGACTCTCCGACTGTGTATTTGTGATCTGATGAATCCGATCTCACCGAAATTACGGTGCATAGTAGGTGCAAAACGACGGCAAACCACCCTCTCATCGTCATTTTCACCTTCTCCTCGCTACTTCTGACACACGCACGCACGCACTCGTTAATTATACAGTGCTACAAATAGACCTGTAAATAGAGAGGAGCGCAGTTTCCCTCGATGAAAGATGTATTTGCCATACAACAAATAAAGCATTTGACACTTGACGAATGGAATTGGTGACAGATTCTGCAGGGAATACTCAGTGGGTCCCTAACTTTTGAACCTTTAAATCATAGATCCGTAGTCTTTCAAATATCTGCACCTTATATCCTTTTTAGTTTTTATACCGAGTTAATTTAATTAATAGTCAATAAGCTATTTGTTCATCAAAATTTAAAAAATTACTACTTGCTCACTGAACTTTATTATAAGTTATTATTTGTTCACCAAAGTTTAAGAAGTTACTCTTTGCTCACTGGACTTTGATATAAATTCATACTTGCTTATCGAAATTTAAAAAGTTACCCGTTATTCCAATTTGGATTAGCAATGAGTAACATTTTAATTTCTGTGAACAACAAGTAATTTAAAGTAAAACTCAATGAGGAAAGAACAACTTTTTAAACTTTGATGAGCACCATTGATTTTTTATAACAAAAGTGTTAGATTTGATATTAGAGTCACCATACCCCCAAGTGAGATAAAATTGTGTAGACATTTGGTGAAGATGTACAAATTGTTCGGTAAAAATTCCTTTGAACTCATTTTTTTTTCAAACTCATTTTTCATCATATATTTTTCTAATAAAATAATTTTGTACATTGGTCTATAATATTTTTTTTTTCTTTGTAACTACAAATTCTTCAAAAAAAAAAAATCACTTTTCACAAAATTTATTCTCAAAAATCAAATCAAACATTCCCATAAAGACAATTAATTTTTATTTGATTCCAGTCGAGAGTCTGTTCTTTAAGTCAAGATACAAATTTAAATAATTAGTCGAGTTTTGTTGAAATTGGCTTATTTTGGGTACTTTGGTCAAGATATAAACTTAAATGATAAAACTAAACTAATAAACTATTTCTAGATCTTATTAGTTGAAAATAGCAATGTTTCTCTTTCGTACAATGTTAACAATGTTTTGAATAATATAGGGATATTTTGTTAAAAAGTCTAGTCAAACAATGATTTTGTTTAAAAAATCTCATCTCAATGTTTCTTGGCCAAATGGCCTTCACAATTATAAAAAACAATAAATAAACAATATCAAATATCCAAAATGCCATCACCATGGAAAATACCCAAACACCCCTTTGAATCCAATTAAATTCCTCAATCAACCTTTCCTTTCCTTTACAATCTTCCGATAAAAAAAAAAATTTAATCCGTCTCCAAAACACATCGACGTCTCCATGTGGTTG